ATGCTGGCTAAAAGTAACAAAATGCTGGCTAAAAGTAACAAAATGCTAGCTAAAAGTAACAAAATGCTGGCTAAAAGCAGCAAAATGCTGACTAAAAGTAACAAAATGCTGGCTAAAAGTAACAAAATGCTAGCTAAAAGTAACAAAATGCTGGCTAAAAGCAGCAAAATGCTAGCTAACAGTAACAAAATGCTGGCTAAAAGTAACAAAATGCTGGCTAAAATCAATAAAAGGCTAGCTAAAAGTAACAAAATGCTAGCTAAAAGTAGCAAAATCATAAGTAGCAAAATGCTAGCTAAAAGTAACAAAATGCTGGCTAAAAGCAGCAAAATGCTGACTAAAAGTAACAAAATGCTGGCTAAAAGTAACAAAATGCTGGCTAAAAGTAACAAAATGCTGGCTAAAAGTAACAAAATGCTAGCTAAAAGTAACAAAATGCTGGCTAAAAGCAGCAAAATGCTAGCTAAAAGTAACAAAATGCTGGCTAAAAGCAACAAAATGCTAGCTAAAAGTAACTAAATGCTAGCTAAAAGCAGCAAATGCTAGCTAAAAGTAACTAAATACTGGCTAAAAGTTACAAAATGCTAGCTAAAAGTTACAAAATGCTGGCTAAAAGTTACAAAATGCTAGCTAAAAGTTACAAAATGCTTGCTAAAAGTAACAAAATGCTGGCTAAAAGTAGCAAAATCCTATAAGTAGCAAAAATGCTGGCTAAAAGTAGCCAACCATTAGCTAAAATGTAATAGTAAAAAAAAAAATCTAAAAAATATATGTAGCAAAACGCTAACTAAGTGTTCAAAGTAGCTAAACGCTAACTAATAACTAAATACATTGAGGGCTAGCTAAATGCTAGCAGCTGTAAAAGTCTAAGATCTAAGGTCATTTTCACACCTGATAATCCAGTAGACTTGGTTCGATTGGGGACCAAAATTTGGAACATTTGTTTACATTTTCAGCTGATGCGTTCACATTCACACTGCAGAGTGAATCGAGCCAACCTGTCTCCCCCACAACACAACTCCCACCTCGCCTGTGGTGGCGCTGCACCATGAACTACTGAAGGAAATGACATAAAAACCTTTTGAAGAAGACACTTCTTCTTCTTCTTCTTCTTCTTCTTCTTCTTCTGGAAATAAAAACAAAAATGGAGTGGCATCAAATTTGAGTGGTTTTAGGAGTTTTGTTTTGTCATTTTTCAACAATGGACTCAGCATGAGCTGCAGATGAGGCAGAAGACCATGGAGAATGTTGTTTTTCACACAAGGCGGCTGACGGCTCCGTATGACGTAAGAGAAACGTGTGTTTGTTTGCCCTGCGCTGGAGTCAACCTCTGCTTTTAGAGCGGTCTCCGGTCTGCTTTCATTCACACTGCATTCGAACCGCGCTAGAGTTCACTTCAACCGGACCAAGACCTCGGTATTTATGCGGACCAGAGTTCGCTTTTTTGGTCCGCATCAGAGTTCGATTGCACATTCACACCTCTTCAAACGAAACAGACTTTCTAGGCAAAAGAACTAGAGTTTGATTAATGCGGACTAAACAGGGCCCTAAAAGTAGTAATGTTTATCTAAAAGTAGCTAAATGCTAGCTATAAGCTAAATAAAGCAGAACAAAGCTAAAAAGAGCACAGAAGACGATACGTGAGCGACGCTGACCCCCTCGTTAACGTTTAAAGCTGCAGACCAGTGAGACGCTCCTTTCAGACCTGGTCTGGGATCTTTGTGTAGTCCTCACCTGTCTTCCAGTGGACTCTGGCTTCTCATGTCACTTTCGTTTCCATTTAGAGTTCCTGCATAAACAAATAAACACGTGCATGTCGGCTCACGTCAGCCGTGCACGGAGACATCCTCATGTTGATCAATATCCCTCATAGATCAGTTGCTCCCTAGAAGGAGAGCAACGGGGATTTGCATATATATAGAGGCGAGTTTAGCCAAGCGCTCACAGGACGTCCTGAAACTGCTGCCTTCAGCATGCTGACCCCCCACCACCCAGGAAGATGTGTGCAGGTGGGGGGACAGGACGAGGAACAGCAGCACCTAAGATATGACAGCAGACACCTGAGGTTTGGACACAAAGTCACATTATGCACGATCGTTGGGATTTGATCCAAGTCATCGTAATCTGATTGCTACAAGTGTGAGAGGATGTTAATGATTTGATTTAGTTAGTCAAACTTTGTTGCTTTGGGCTGCAAAACTCAGCAGAAATCACGTCAACATCATTAATTGGGTGCTGCCTCCTG